GGGCCCAGCCGCTCCACGGCATGTGGGATCTTCCCGGACCGGGGCACGAACCCGTGTCCCCTGCATCGGCAGGCAGACTCTCAACCACTGCGGCACCAGAGAAGCCCAGTATTATATTTTTTATCTGCAAAACTGTGTGCTACACTTCTTTTACTTCCGTATTTATAATAAACTTACGTATGGATATATATGCGCACATTTTCCCTGGAGAGGTGACTACTAAACATTGGCCAGCACACGACTGCTCTTTGTAGGGGTAAAAATGAAGAAATGCCCAAACAGGGACACAGCTTTAAAGCTGTGTGATGAGCATGTCCTTCCAGGCCTGTCATGGTCGCTCTGTATAAACCCAGTTGGAAATAATGTCAGAAGCTGAAATTGGGGCTCTGTGTGAGTGTTAGTGGAAGGCCCGGAGGAAAGGCAGCCTGGTCCTGGCCCGCAGCCTCACACACTCGCAGTGGAATTAGGTGCCCTGCAGCCTGGGGCTCAGCAAAGCATAGCAGGGTCACTGCAGCAGGTCTCCCACGTGCCCAGGCAGGCAAGGCAACAGGGGCTGTCACCCTCTGCGCGTAGGCAGGAGAATCTCTGGGACTCATTTCTATTTTTTACTAACTCCCCTTTATGGAGCAACTGCAGTGTCCTCAGGGGTGGGGTGTCCCAGTGGTCAGGTGGTGGTGACCAGAACTCAGGGCACTTGGGGCGGCTGGATTTCACACTTCTTGTCCCAGGGCTCTTTCCTTCCAAACCTTACGTACCATATGCTTTCCAAGAGTACGGTGGCAACTAGCTTATTTCACAGGAGATACGTGGAAACCCCTGAATTCACCTAGTCCTCCCTGGTCATTCTAGATGGGAAGGCTCAAGCCCAGAGAGGGCAGGAATCTGCCCCAGGCCACACAGTGAGTCAACAGCAAAGCCTACCCCAGAACCCCGGCATCTGCTCGTAGACAGGTGGGCTTTCCACGCCAGCACCTGCTCGCATCCCAACTCCTGGCCAGCTTGTGCCAGAGTAGAGGGACGCGAGGGCCTTCTGAGCAGGGCTGCCCTTCAGCCCCTCAGCTCCGGCCCAGCCCACTTTACCTGCTCCTATTACCACTGCATCGTACTCCGGCTTCAGACGTCCCCTGGCGTCAGAGTGAGCTCGTCTCAAAGCGGGGTGGGGAGAGGCACCCACGGCCCTGCGGAGCCCTCGGCCACATGCAGCCATTTCTGCCCAGGCTAGGCCAAGAATTTGCTTGCAAGCAGCTTTTCGTGCCTCTCCAGGCAGGGGGAGGAGCAGGGAGAAAGCAGGAAGAGAGGAGGAGCTGCAGCCCAGCTGCCGTACTTGGCCCTGGGCCATGACTAAACAGGGGAGGCTGAGCTGCCCACAGCCCAGCCTGACCCCGTCCACACCCGGTCGAGTCGCGGGAGGTCGCCTGTTAACCAGGCAGAAGTCCTGCACCTCCAGGCCCCCAGAGAGTAACCACCGTGCTGCTAATTCTCTAGGGCTCCTGTGTGCCAGGCCCTGTGCTGACCACGGTCGTGCAGCCCCTCGTGTAAGCCCCAGACGAGGGGCACTGAGGCTCGGAGAATGTGCGTGTGGGTGTGTGAGCGTGCTAATGAGTGTTCCAAAGGTCTGTCTCCTCCCCTGTGCTGTCTTGCTTCTGGTTAAGGAATTAAAGGTCCCGGATGAGTTGGGGGTGGGAATCCAAGTAAAGAGAGGGACTTGGGTCAGACTCTGCTCCAGTTTCCCGTCCCTCCGGCTTGTAGGGGGGTAACTGCTCTATGCCCACAGCAGGCGCGGGGACCCGCTGCCTGAAGGCCTCTGGGGCAGGCCCTCTGCACTGCCGACACCAGGGCCTCAGCAACACTGCGGTGGAGGGGGGGGAGCATCTGCCCCTGGGGCCCCCAGAGAGCCACACATCCTTGCTTAAACGCCATCCAAATGCTTAAACGCCATCCACTTCTCAGGCTGCCGCACAGCTGGAAAGGTCTGGGGGCCAGTTCAGTCCTCGTGATTTTGGGGGTTCGCCTTTTTCTTTTGAAGGCCTGAACATTTCTCTTCTGTGTTTTGGTACGTTTCCCATTTTCCAAGAATCCTCAAGGATTAAAGACCCCATCGTAAATATCTTTGGCTTAGTGCTTACTATCCTCTGGCCTGTCCTGAATTAGGAGACTCTTTCGCTCCCTGCCCATTGGTTAGGACATTCCCCGTATAGGAAAAAGCACCCTAGGGGCTGGGAGTTTCTGTACTGCTCTGACATCTAGAAACCCGTTATTAGAAGTGCATCTCAAAATTAGAAGAGTATGTGGAAAGTCGCTTCTGGGTAAGAGGGACTTCTGGGGACACTTCTACCCTCGAATCAGACACCCCTCCACACGCCACGTAAAGTTTACACCGTGTGTGTCTCTGCTAAAATCCGAGTCAGCATCTTCCCTCCAGTGTTATTTATAATATTGAAAAACTAGGGGGACTGGTTAAACTAGACGTGTCACAGCATGCAGCTGCTAAAAGTGAAGGGAAAGTATTAGGTGACAGGAGTGAGGATCCTAAACAGCAGTGGGCTTCTACACTTAGTCTTCCCCTTCTGCTCCTCTGTACTTTCCCGATCATGTCATAATTCCTGTCCATAAAGTCACGATATTAAGGAGAAAGGCAGTCCCAGTCACCTCGTGACTCTGTCCCTCACTGCCACCTTCTGCGGACTTCAGCCCACGGTGTTGGTCTAGCTCCTTCAGTATCTCTGTCCCGGTAAGCTGTTCACTTAACAGGAAAGATCAGTGTGCTCTTATGAATTTTAGCTCAAGACTGAAGGCACGGAAGGCCTGGCCGCTGTCTGGTGTCACACGCAAACCCACCGCCTCGCTGCGCTGTGTACTTCTGCCTCCTCACTTCCCTCTGTCCCAGCTGTGGCCTCTCGGCCCCAGAGCAGTGCATGCTCCCAAGTCCCAGGGCTCTGACGGCCTCTTGTCCTTGTGTCCGTTTGGGGGGGGACTTTCAGGTTAGAGGAAGGGCTGTACCCCTGGGGCAGTGCTCTCAACCCAGGGCACACCAGGACCCCTAGAGAAGCTTTGGAAAACCTTAAAACCTGGGATCCATTGGACCGAGTGACACGAATCTCTGCGGCGAGGCTGGGGCAAGAGGCAAGAACCAAGAAGGGCACAAAGAGGCCACCGCGAAGGGCCAGGGGCTTGAACAGTAACAATAACCATAACCAGCATTTATTGAGTGGCTGCCACAGCCGGCAGCCCCACGACCATCCTGAGAGACGGGTGCCATCACTCTGAATGTGGGGAGACAGGCTGAGAGGTGGGGAAACCTGCCCAGAGCCGCAGAGGGGGCGTGGCAGAGCTGGAGTTCAACCCAGCCAGGAGAGCTCCTTTGACCTGGGGAGGGAAACAGCTTCCTGGGAAGCTTTCTCTATTCTGAGAACAGAAGACACCCACAGGCTGTGGCGACTTCCTCTGTCTCCTAGGGGTAAACGGAGAGGCAGATCCAAAAGAGGGGCTGTCTTGGGTCTAAGCTCACAGCCACTGCTGTTCTAAGGAGACCAAAGAAACCCTCTGGCCCTCCTCTCCCTTCAGAGGGAAGGATTTGGGGGTTTGCTCGTTACCCGGAGTGGAGACTGGTCTAAGTGGAGTTTCTTTAAGAAACTCTAGGGCCGCCCTGGGGACTGTGCCATCCTCAGGAGGCTGCCGTGCATAGGAGGAGGCTCTCACCATGGGGATGTCTGCAAGCCAGGTGGGCCTGGAGAACAGGTGCACGGGCAGATGCACAGGGGCAGCCCACCCTGGCCTAGAGCAGGGGGACACGGGAGGCCTCGCCCAGGCGCCGGGCCAGCTCACCGGCCTGCTGCACCAGCACGTCCGTGGGGATGACCGACAGGTGGAGGGTCAGCAGCTCACGGCACCTGACAGCCTCAGCTGGGTGGCCCTTGCTGTAGTAGCGCAGGAGCTTCCTGGGGGAGGGAGGGGGAAGGAGGACAGGATTCAGGAGGGAGCCAGGCCAAGGGGCCTTCCCGGCACTGCACAGGTACAAAGTCACCTCACTAGGCCCCGGCACCGGGCCAGAGGCCTTCCCTGCCCCTCGCTGACCCAACCTTACAAGGTTCAGCCCCAGGCTGCCACGGCCCAACCCTCTGGGTTCCTGATCCTGGAATGGGGTCCACTAGATGGCAGGGCCCCATCTATGGGGCACACAGAGCCGTCAGAGAAGGTCTTCAGGAGCCCAGCAGAGATGCCTGCAAATGCTGCCTCGATGTGCCACCAGGAAGAAGGGCAAGAACCCCAACAAGCGCCCCACTCTCTTCCTCTCGCTGAATGCCTGGCTGTGAGGAGCTTCTAACAAGGCGAGACAGGCTCAGGGGGACATTCCTGAAGGACAGGCTGCACACTCTGTGGGGAATGGCACTGATCGCCCATCGTCTGTTCCCCTCTGTGCCCAGGGCCTTCTGGATCGGCATCACCTGTAGTAGTCTCCTCCCAGCATGCCGACAGGAGCCGAGTCATCGGACAGGACAGGCACCTCGATGATCTGGAGTTTGTACCCCTGGGGAAGGAAGCAGGGCGTCTTGAGTGGGGAGGCGGTGGGTGTGGGGGGAAGAGCATGGGCTTGAGCCAGACACTCGGTCTGAGGCCGGGCTCAGCCCTGCTTGGCGTGTGCCTTGTGCTGGGAAAATGCACTGGCCTCTTTTTACCTTGTCTTCTCACCTGTGAAGCAGGAATAAGAATAAACTCCCAAAGAACATTAGACATGGATGTAAAGTTCCGAGTGTCGTGCCCGGCACCTGGTAGCTCTCATTCCCATCAACCAGTGGACCTGGGTCAGTGACAGGCACACGTGAGGGAGGACGACCCGGGGACGTGTCATGAAGAACAAAGCGTTACCAAAGGCCAAGTCTCTCTCTGAAAGCAACAGGTATTCCCAGGGCAGGACATGGCGGGGAAGGGACTCAAGCTCTGTTGGGCTCCCACTGTGTGCCAGACGCCCTCACGGGGCTCCTGTGGCGCTGTGCTCACCGCGCCTGCCCCACGGGGGAGGAGGAGGACTTGGTGGCGGCCCAGTTGCAGCCAGACTTCACACCTGGGTCTCCCCGCACCACAGCCTACCGCCCTGTGGGGCTAACCACACACACACACACACACACACACACACACACACACACACACACACACGGAGCCCTGTCCCTCCCTAGAAGCTAAGGTGATGGTCACACCCATATCCTGGGCGCCTGAGGCAGGCACAGAGCAAAGATGGGAGCCTGCAGGTCAGGAGAGCCGAGCCTGGGTTCTGACATCATCACCTAGGACCTCAGTGGCCCTGGCCATGGTGTCTGACCTCAGGGTGTCAGCATCTCCATCTGCAAAATGGGGTCAGTGACACCCGCTCCGACCATCACACGGGCTCTGTGGATGTGAGGCCGTGAGAACAGAGTGAGAGACCCCGATGGCTGCACTGCGCCGTGCAGGAAGGGGGGCAGGAGGGCTCGCTGACAGGGGCAGAGAGAGGGCAGGGCACGAGCAGGGGAGAGAACAGGACGGGGGGCCAAGGGAACGTGGGAGGGAGAAGCAATGGCCCTCAGAGCTGGAATGATGGCCAAGGGTGACAAGTGAGGAGGAAACAAAAAGAGAAAAAGGAAACGAAAGCAGAGGAAAGAGGGGAGACACAGAGCGAGACAGTGAGGCAGAGCAACAGCGAGAGGGGGTGGGAGGACACAGATAATAAACTCCTGTGACCTGTGCTCATACTGCAGCAACGGTGAGGTTTGGCCAACACGGCCGGAGGCAAGAGATCTGAGCCTTCCTGCTAGCCTTGCCCCGGGCAGGCTGGTTAACCGCTCTGAGCTTCGCTTTATCAGCCTCTACAATGGGAACAGGGAGCCGGGCCCTGTAAGTGCAGCTGACCACACCGAAGCACCACTGAGGAAGCGCGGGCTGGGCGGCCTTGCTCACGCGGGGCGCACGTCTGTTCACATGTCACCTGGATGCTGCCTTGATCAATGGCATGAGATTTTCAGAGAATGGGTGGAGGGGCCTGAGCGCAAACGGGACCTGAGTTCTGGGTGCCAACCAGCTGGGCTTAGCTGTCAGCTCCACCAGGGACAAGAAGAGCTGGAGACACAGACTGAACAGAATCCAGGAGAAAAGGATCCAAGAGTCACAGGGAAAGAAAGCATTTCAGGACTGCCCTGCCCTGGGCTGGCCACACCCACCATCTCGTTCTCGAACCACAGGAAATAGGAGCAGTAGAAGTCCCCCTCGCGGGACAGCAGCGTGGTGTAGCCCTTCTGCAGGTATCTGCGCGCCAGATGGATCAGAGACCAGACCTGGGGAGAGGAGACAGTGCTCATCTCTGCAGCCTGTGAGGCGGCCCTCTCTCCACGGCAGGGGCTGGGCTCAGGTTCTCAAATCCCGAGGGGGAGAAAAGCACTCAGAGGAGGAGCTCCTGGAAGGCCAGGGGCCTCTCCTGCTCATCTTCTTCCTTAGTGTCCGGGCCCAGCCTTGGCTCAAAGCAGGAGCTTAATAATAAATGGATGATGGATAGATGCATGGATGGACTACCCACCCCTCCAGTTACTGTGACGACAAAATATACGTATAAACACTTTATGTACCTTTACTATACACACAAGCCATAAAGAGTAGATTCATCTTTCAGGCCAGAACAGAGCCGGGGACTTAAGAGAAGACGAGGGGGTGGCCCCCTGGAACCCTCCTGCTGTTGAGGGCCAGCCACTCACCTGGGCCCCTCAGGACTGAGGATTTCTGGCACAGGCTCTATGCCAGAAAGTTGCTGGAAAAGTGTTTGAACGCACAGAGTGCCCTGGTCCAGGAACGTCCTCTGCTCCAGGGCGAAGTCTGAACGAGGGCTCACCAAGGGCACCGATGGGAACACAGTGACCAAGGGACAACGTGCCTCAGATCCCCTCCGCGAGATTCTCCTGCCTAATTCAAGGACTTCTGACGCTGCCTGTGAACTGCCCTAGGGAAGCTGGCAGCAGGGGCAGCTCTGCTCCCCCACCTCCCAGGGCCTGGAAAGGCCTGCTACACTCTCACCAAAGAGCTTAGAAAAAGCTTAGCGGCAGGCATACAGGAGCTACTCCAAACCTGCCCACAACACAATGTCTAATGAAACCTGCAAACAAATACACGGGTTTGCTCTGTTTTTCAGGAAAGCAATTCGACAACATGTATCAATAACCTTAAAAACACTCCTTCCATTTGCCTTTGTAATTCCATTTCTGGGATTCCATATTGAGAAAATAATCAGAGACGAGGACAAGGATGTACGCCCAGAGGCATGTGCCGCAGAATTACTTACAACCGCAAGAGCCTGGGAACAATCTAAGCGTTCAACTAAGTACATGACGTTATGTTCACGTGATGGACTATCGTGGAGCTGATGATAATCACGTTGATAAAGAATTAATGACATGAGGAAATGCACCAGATATAAAGTGAAGTGAAAATGTGGTAAACACACTGCTTACACAGGATGATCTCAACTACAACAAACCGCACGAAAAACAACGAAAAGAAATGTACCAAATAACCCCAGCTATCTCCAGAAGGAGATGAAGATGCCGGGAAGGACGGTACCAGGAAATGCTCAACCAACTCCAGCTGCGGTCTGTGCCACACGCTGTGTTAAGTATATTACACGCATCATCTCATACACTTATCACCTCTGCAGCAATTCTATGATGTCACTAGAGTTACTATCCTCTTCTACAGATAAGAAAACTGAAACTTAGACTTCATAATACCCCAGCTACACAGCTAGTGAGGGGCAGAGCCGGGTCTCCAACGGGCCTTTTGTCAGGATTTTAACCATTATTATACACCTTATTTGTATACACAATGTATATGAAAATGTATAGTTTTTCAGAAGGTGGCAGAGGTCCTCTGTTCTCCCCACCAAAAATACTAGTTTGCTATGAAGATGAATCAAAGAAAAGGACCCCTAGAGACTGTTTCCTTCGTAGAAACCACCTACTTTTACATTCTGATACTCAAGTTGATTAACCCGTGTGTCTTCTTTCTGTTTTAGTGAACTCAGCCAACACTTATCGGGCACTTATTTATGCCAGGCACTGAGTTAGGCCCTGGCCATTTCCTCCCCTGAACTCGCTGCCCAGACTCTGCTGCTCCAGGCACATTGACACACCCGGGAAGGTGGCCCTGAGTGTCGACCGGCAACCTGGGGTGACGAAGATGGGCAACTATTCTTAGGAGCCTGAAAAGCTGGGTGCGGACACCAGGAAGAGTGCCATGAAGGGTTCTGGCGGGGGTGCTCAGAGCCTCCTGGGAGCCGAGGGCGGGGGCTAGTCCTCTGGGCAGGGGCCAGCACGCCCATCTGATGCGTGAGGAGAGGGCCCAGGCCAGGCCAGGTTACCTTGGTTCTGACGAAGGTGGCCAGGGGCCCCCTGCCCAGCTCTGATGAAGTCCTTTCAGTGCTGCTGAGGGAAGGGGCCACCATCTGGCCGGTGGTGCGGTCCACGTAGATGAAATGCACCAGGCCGGGGAAGTCTTCCAGGTAGGTGAGGGTCTGAGTTAAGGTGCTTGTTAAGCCAGAACCAGGGAGGGAGCTCCTCTGTCCTCGACCTAGGCTTCCAGCGAGGCCCGCCACCCGCCCCCAGGATCCCCCCCTTTCCCAGGTCTCTCTTTACCGTCGAATCCCGAACCCTGAGAAGGTCTAAGATGCAAGTACAACAGATCCTTGGCTCTGGCACAATTAATGCAGGGAGTTCTGGTCCCAACAGGAACATGGTATGTTCATGTTTTACCGTTTTCATGCGGGATGAGTTTAAATGATACACATGCTGCGGCTGGTATGAGAGCAGAGCTATAGAGCTGAAGAGTGAGGCTAGCTGGCCGCCCACCCACCCGCCTCACCGTGATCCTGTTCACCTCTACACTTCATCTCCAGAGGCTGGAACGTTCCCATCTGAGAGGAAGGGCAGTGGCTGGTGGCTAGCAAGGCCTTCTCACCTGTGCACTGAAGACCGAAGTCTCCAGAGACAGGAGGCCACACCCTTTAGAGATTTTAATACAGAAAAAGCTGTTTCATATAAAGTTCCAGGGAAAATCAGTATTTGGTAAAATTAGTTCTGTAATAAAAGGGTAAGTCTTGGAGGTGGCTTTTCAAATGGGGACAAATAAACACATTTACTGCAGGCCTTCTCAGAGCCTTCACGTGCCACTGTGTACTGTGACCTCTAAGAAGGAGGACGTGGCCACTCAAACCTACCCAACCCCAGGCCCCTGCCCCTCGTGGGAGACCCACTGCCACTTAGCTGGCTGGACAACACCGACATAAACGATCCCCAGGGCTCTCAGAAGTAACCGTGGGAGAGCAGGAATTTCTGAAATCCCAGCTGTGGAGTGTTCCTACAGACAAGGCCCCTGGGACACTACCTCCTATCATTTTTCTTCAGAGAAAGGAAGCTGAGGTGGTGAAATATATGCTCTTTCTCCCCAAAGCCGCAGCCCTTCAAGTGAGTGGGTGGAGGAGGCAGGTAGTCCCGAAAGGCCTCCTCAGGGCCAGCCATCAGGATATGACACCATGGTGACATTCCTCCTGCTCTTCACCAACAGGAAGTCCTTCCAGTCTGCCAGCTTTTCTCTGCCGAGGAAGCAGGGGGAACAGGGCTGGGGTCAGGTGCGCCCCAGCTCCTGCCCTGGCCGCCGAGGGGCCACACCGACACTTACTGCATGAGCGTCTGGACCTGGTCCTGCAGGTGCTGGGGCAGGGAGGGGCCTCCCCGGCCCGGAGCCGTGGTCAGGAAGCTGAGCCGGTAGATGGCGCAAAGCTGCCTCTTCAGCCTCCCGCATGCCTGGAGCAGCCTGGGCACAGAGAGGTGAGATGTCACAGCCGGAAGGGCCCTAGGAGGGCACGCCCAGGATGGTACCCCATCCCCTGTGATCACCCTCCTCCTGGACTGGCGTACAGCACAGCTGATGCCCCACACCCTGGCCCTCACTGAGCCAGGAGGCAGCTTCCCAGTTTCCCCCCAGTGTGTGCTCTGAGCACTTAGAACCTCATCCAACCTCATGGTTTATTTTATGGAGAAACAAGGGGCAGTGACTTGCCCGAGGTCACACACTGAGTCCGTGCTGGAGCCGGGCCTCTGCTGGCCGTGTCGGGCCCTCAGGCCCTGCTCCTCAATCTGTCCTTTCTGCTCCCAGCCTCCCCTCAGCATCCGTGGGCTGGACCCGCCCTCCCAGGACCCCCTCTGCCCTCAGAAGCGCCTTCCTGAGCATCCTCTCCCTCTGGGCCTGGAGGAAACTTGCTCCTCTGTCCAAACGACTCCCCCCTTGACCTCAGAGCCCACCACTCACTGCCAGGATGATCCGGGCTCACTTCTGGAGAAGGCCTTGGTCTTGAACTCCAGCCAGGTGCTCTGTAAGGAGGACAGGTGACAGGCAGCTTCCTGACAACATTCCCACAGCGAGGTCCAGGGGACACCCTACATTGTGCTCTGAAAGGCTCCAAAAGGTCCCCTGCCTCCATGGCTTATTTAGGCCCAGCACACACCTGCCATCCACAGCCAAGCTAGGTCTCTGGCAGGTCCCCAGCACCCTGCACCCCACTGTACACCAGGCTACTCATTGAGCAGGCGTGTATTTAAAGAGCAGTCTCTGTGTGCCAAGTACCAGGCTCACTGCCTCGCTGGCAGATACCGTAAACCAATGATGCCAGAGTGACAGGTAGGCGCCTCAAGGGAGGGGCGGACACAGGCAAGAGCTGGGGTGCTGATGCCCCTCAGGGGAGCTTTGCATCCTAACACGTGCTCACTGGAGTGTGCTGGGCATGGAGAGATGCTGAGCGCTGCGGACTGACTGGTAATTTGCGTCTGGGCTTCAGTTGCCTGCTCTGCCTCTTCTAATCCCTCTGCTCGTTTTCAGACCAGTGCAAACTCCGTGCACAACGAATCTCAGTTCCTTGAGCCCTGCCAGCTACACGAGTGGCCTCAGATCTCAGCCCAGTGTTCTACCCTTGAGAGCTCCCCCCGCAGGCTCCGGCCTGGGCTGTGCCCCGTTTCCTGCTCTGCTTGCGCACTGTCCCAGGGTCTTGGCCTCATCTCCCAACCTGGGTTCTACGCCCCCTGTGCGTGCAGCGGCCTCCCTGTGTCCTGCACGTCTGAGACCAGCCAGGTGGTGAGGGGTGTGGCGGGCAGACCAGTGGCCGTCGCTGAGCCCTCGAGTTGGGCTCTGGCTCCACTGCTCACCAGTCCAGTAACTTTGGCCAAATCACCATCTATCTGAGCCCGGGTTTCCTCATCTGAAAAATGGGAGCTATAACTCGTCACACAAGAACGTTTTGGAAATGTCAAGTGCCACTGCTGTAAGTTTCTGTTTCTGTTTCCTAATGGGGGAAACAAGGATCACAAGCCCACGGTGGGGTGGGGCAGGGCCCAGAGCCTGGGCCCCTCACCTGGTGTGGACAGAATGGGCCCTGCCCCCTCTCCCTAAGGTGTGGTGTCCAGGGCTTGCGTCTCACCTGAAGCTCTTGCCCACCTCGATTCTTGACAAACTTGTCCATCCTCTGGCGTAGGTCCCCCATGAGGGGGTGGGACCGCAGGGCACTCCCGGCCTCCTGCCCCTCCTTCAGCTTCTTCTCCAGTAGAGAAAACCCATCCAGCAGCTGGTACAGGGCCAGGGCCAGGGCCGTACTGGGGCTCTAAGGTTAGGAGAGCAGGGCAGGGCAGACAGGGGCAGCCGTGGGGCGGGCATCTAGGCTAGGGCGTTGCCAGGGCAGGCAGGGGTGCTCGTACCTTGGTCAGGAGCACCATGTTGATGCCTGGCCACAGCGGCAGGCAGTACATGGTGTGGGGCACCATGGGGCAGTAGCTCTCTTTCACGGTGGCATCCAGGAAAATCCTTCTGGGGCTGGAGGGTCCTGGGGAGCGAGGGACCAGCGTCTGGAGGGTGTCCTCAGCCATCTGCGGAGGAAGAGGAGCTGTCAGCGGGAAGGGGTGAGCAGCCGGCTGGCCTCCTCCCCACATCGGGTCCACCCACGGCTGCCCACTTGCCATCCTCCCTGTGAACCACGAGGCATAAGCTTTTCTAGCCCCAAGAAATCCCAGTTCCTAAATCCCTGCGCTCTGCTGCGGCTGCCCTGGCAGCTCCTGTCCTGCTGCCCCTCTCTCTCTCAACATCCTCGGGGCCCTTCTGCCGGGAGTCAGGACTGGATACCACACGGGGGTAGCGGGTGGTAAGAAGGGACGAGAAAGGTGGGAAAAGCAGCCGGCGTGGGGTGGCATGGAGGGGAGGCGGCTCCTCTACAGCTTTCTGTACAAGAAGCATTTAAAGCTGATTAACACCTGTCATTTCACCACCTTCAGGACATCCCGACAGTCATTCCAGGGGGGCAAGTGGGGCATAACAGGGCTAAACAAGCAAGACTCCAGCCTTACGAGGGCTCTGAGTAACAAAGTCTTTACGGGCAAAAGCAGAGAATTAAGGAAATCATTAGGGATGCCACAAAAACTTCTCTATAAGGAAGTCACTGTAGTCTTACGATAACAGCAGAAGACTCCATACAACACACTGGTTGTTCCAGGAATTTGCTAAATAAATAACAACATACGCATGCAATGCACTCTCAACAGTCTTGTTAAGAACCACACTGCTGAGGAGTGCCTAGTTAATGGGAAAATGCTCAAAAACAGAAAGAATAATGAAGACTAGAAGGAAACACTCCAAAATCTTAATAGTAGTTAACATCTGGGGCTGGGATTTGAGAGTGATTTTTTTTCCTTTTCCATATTTTACTTTTGTTTATCCCAATTTTTCTACAATGAACGCATTTATCATTTTAGAAAACATTAAAAATTAAGTTGGACTTTCACTCCCAAGAACAGTGAGGGTGGGGATTTCTCAGGAGTTGAGGCCAGGTGTCTGGGGGAGGGGGAGGGGAGGGAGGTGGTCACCCTCATCCACCACTCCCCCCACCCCTGCATTGGCTGGCCAGCCGTGAGAGGGCACGAGGAAGGCCAGCGTTGGCTGGAGAGTCACCCCAGGAGAAGCCCTCAGAGTCTCCAGTGCTCACTGCAGCATCTCAGATCAGCTGGTGCCCCGGCCAAACCCCCCCACCCCCGAGCCCCCCAGGAGAAACTCACCTGGACATGGGGATCATCAGTGGGGGGGGTACCCCCATCCAGCCAGACTGTGCTACCTGCAGGCCATAGGTATTAACATAACAACATAAATAATGGCAAAATGTAAATACTGGCCCAACAGCCTGTCAGCAGGGGAGGATGGAGCAGAGATGGCCCCACGTCATCAGCAGCTCACAGCACGTTAGTGTGAGCTGGGGAGACTTCCCCTTCTCATCCTATCCCAAGCTGGTGAGTGCAGGGCAAGCTCAGAGGTACCAGAGCTAGAGCAGCCTGGGCCGGGGAAGAGAGGCTCCCTGCTGCCCCAGTGGGCTGTGGGGAGGAGCTCCTGCACGTGTACCTGGCGGTGGGGGGGTGTCCCTCAACCCCCTCCTCGGCCCCCAATCCCCTCCTTGTTTCTGCCCTCCCTAACCCTTCAGGCCCCTCCCTGGCTATAACAGTGCCTCTTCACTGGGAGGCAGCACACACTGTCTACAGTTCCCCATTTATTTAGTCAATCAGCAAACTTTAACTGAGTATCTACTATGTGCTGGGAACTGAACTAGATTTCCTTTCCTAGGTCAGCTCACAAAAACCAGCTGAACCAACCGCATATTTGAAATATTGTAGGCTTGTAATAACAGTGCTCTCTCGTATATTTCATTGCAAATAACTATCATTTATAATCATGTTTCTCTGGGGAAGCCTGTGTCTGTGTTTCAAACACCTGACTTACGAATGGATGAATGCAACTCCACCCATTTGTAAGCTGTGAGTTCCGTGCACTGTGGAACAGGCATTATTTACAGCTTTGAGGCATGAAAAAACTACTGAGAGAAAGGGGCCAGGAGGAGGAATGAGGGAAGGGAGCAGTGAGAAGAAAATGGAACTTCAGCCATTACCCTAAAGTAGTGCTTTTTGACGTTTTGGGCTCGTGGAGAGCTTAGAGAACCCAGGACAGTTATGATCCCAGCCACAGAGAAATGGACAAGCAGGGATGAACTGGCACATGGTCTCAGGGGTCCCAGGCTCCTTTTTTGTTTTGTTAATAATATTTCCAATATTTTTCGTTTCTTTTTATTGTTTACCCACATACTTTGGAAAAGCATGTAAGCTATAAACCATATAGACTGAATATTTATATTTTAAATCACTGTACTAGAAATAAAATGATTACTTAATTATTTGATTACTTATTAATTATAAAAAAGAAAGAGAAGGCAAAGAGCACATATATGAGAGATGAATTTTTAAATGAAATCAACTTGTCATAAAAAATTTTAGGGATCATTTGAGTGGCCTTAACAGTCCTTGAATTCAAGCTGGAGCCGGAAGGGTAGACAGAGGGTTTGCTGCACACAGTGTCCTGGGCTCTAGGAATTTGGGTGTCTGTGCCTGGACCCTTACAGGGCGTCGGGATCCACTGAACCCTAAGACAGATTCTCCCAGGGCTGCCTATCCGCCTTGCCTTCTCCAGGTCCCTGTCCTGTGCCCCTCTTCCTCTCCAGGTCTCACCTGAACTCTGCTCCCCCGGGGAAGGAGCTGGTGTGAAATACTCCTCAGGGAGGGAGAGGCTGTCTGTCTCCTGGGAGGGAGAAGGGGCAGCTGGGTTGAGGGCTCAGAGAGGCTCTCCCGGGGGCTCGACCCTGGTCCCTGTTCTCTGGGGAGAGGCCAACCCTCCCCTCCCCTCCCCTCCCCTTCCCTCCCCCTCCCCTCCCCCTCCCTCCCACCCCTCCCCCCTCCCTCCCACCCCTCCCCAGAACATAGCACATACAGTCCCTGCAGAACTCCTGGTCGGGTCTGCAGAACAAGAGTTCCAGGCCTGCTGCACGGGGATGCTCTGGCTGCGGAGGGGCCTCTGTGGGGAAGGCTGCAACAGGTCCGGGGATGCTAGTTAGAGCTGCCTGCCTGGCTCCTCTGCCTCCTGCACTTCACAGCGCAGCCCTGGGGGGAGGGGGCTGCCAGCCCCTGCGCACACTCCACTGTGCAGCCCTGGGTGTGCGCCCTCACTTTCCAGGGATGTTTCAATTTTAGAAATTCCAGAAAGTCTGACACATTGGCACCCAAACGACTGCCAGCACTTACTGAGAGTGTTCACTACACCCCAGGCACTGCTGAGCTCTAGGTAAACTGCTTCCTTTATTCCTCATGACGACCCTGAGAGGTAGATGCCATCATTGTCCCATTCCACAGATAAGGGAATCGAGGTTCAGATGGGGTAAGTACTTGCACAGCAAACAGCTTAGTGGTAAAGTTGGGACTATGTTGGGACTATTTTTGGGACTCCAAAAATCTGCACTTTTAACCCACTAAACTACATGCATTCTAGAATTCCCCTTACATCTGAAAGCAGCTGGAAAAAAGTCATGCCCAACCACATGCCCAGGACTGTGACTTGGAAACCACAGTCTCCCCAGCAGCCTGCCCAGCACTCTCCAGACTGGTTTTCCAAGTCGCCTTCCTGAAGGCCTCCTGCTGCCCAGAGAGCTGCCCCAAGACCTGGGTGTCGCTGTCCTCTGCCGTGCTCTCGCTGGGGTAGAGGTCCTGCACCAGAAGGATGAGGGCAAGGAGGTTGGCTGGGCGCAGGGAGCCGGCGCTGTGGCTGCGGAGAGAACAGGCAGCAGGTCAGCATGTGCCCGCTGCTCCCAGCCCACAGGTGGCAGTGGACAGGGGCAAGTAAGTTAAGGGAGTCTGGAGCATGATCCCTGCCCTCAAGGAGTTTACAAATGTGCCCACTGACTTCATCCTTTCTGGAGAAAGACAAGGTATGTACAAAATTAGTTAACTCATCCATTTAAAAAATAAAACTTGGTTGTGTTGAAAAATAAAAATTACCAGTGGAAAACCACCAGGGACGAGTAACAGCATATCAGAAAACCCTAAATTAAGATTCTGAGACAGTGTTCCAGGAAGAAATAATTCAGAGAAGGAAGTGAGCTGAGAGGGGGAGAAGAACTGAAGAATTTAAGAAGGCTTCCTGGAAGAGATGGGTCTGCAAGGTTTCCCTGGCCCAGGAGGTGGTGCTTTTCAGGTAGGGGGAATAAGAAAGGGTGAAGGTGAGGGGACCCAGGGCCTCCGGGCCACCCCATGCTGGGGCCCTTGGGCTCACCTGGAGTAGAAAGCCAGCAGCTTGGAGTGCACGAGCAGGAAGGCGTGTAGGGCCTCCTCGCCGGCCCGCCCAGGGCTGGAGTTGACGGCCTGGACGATGTGCCGCTCCAGCACCTCGATGCACAGTTCACATAGCTGAGGGTGGATCAGCCGCTCCACAGCCTGGGCATGCGGGCAGGGAGAGGAAGTCACATCACCCCCACACCTCCTGCTCCAGCCCCAGGCTGGCAATACATTCACTCAGGCCACAGTGAGCACACACCACGTGCCAGATGCTTGGGAACAGGGAGGCTCGGACCAGCACAGAGTCTGCCCTTCTGGGGCTTAGGGCTTAGTGTGATCACTACTCTAGTGGATGAGACAGACAATATGCAGAGAAAGAGATAAAATAAGTGCTAACAACTGCTGTGTAGGAAATATACAGTATTGGACTAGAGAAGAAGAGCAGAGACCTAAGTGTGTAGGGTGTTCAAAGAAAATGTCCCTGAGGAGGTGACCTTTAAACTGATATCTAGAGAACAAGAAACCCCGTCAGAGAAGGAGGGAGGGGCGAATGCCGCAAGCTGAGGAAAGAGCACATGCAAAGGCCCTGAGGTGGAGACAGAGTTTGGAGCAGTGCTGCCTAACTGATTACAAAGGTAACCCCTACACGTAATTTAAAATTTTCTAGTAACTACATTAAAAAGTAAAAAGAAATAAGTGAAATTAATTTAAATAATTGATTTAACCTAACATCTAAAATATTATCATTTCAGCATAAGGTATAAAAGCGTTATTAATGGGATAGTTAAGAATCCTATCTGACATTCTTTTTTGTTTTTGCATTTGACATTCCTTTTTTGTCCTAAGTCATCAATATCCAGTGTATATTTTACAGGTATAGCATAACTCAATTTGGACTAACTATACTTCAAATATTCAACAGAGACATGTAGCTAATGACTACCACACTGGACAGAGTTGAACACACAGTGCCCCGGAAATGGAAAGAAGTCCCGGGTGGCCAGTGCATGGTGAGTAAGGACAAGAGAGGCATGAGATGAGGCTGGGGCAAGACAGGCAGTGGTGGATCATACAGGGCCTGATAGGTTTGGTAAGGACTGTGGCTTTTATCTTAACTGCATTAGGTCACCTCCTACAAGAAGCCTTTTGCTGATGCCTCAGAAGGAGCTGACCACGCCAACCTCTGTGCCACCATGGATTTTGAGAACCCCAACCTGGCAGCACCCAGTATACTTTATTGTTTTTAGTGCATATGAATGGCTGATTTCCCCTCAAGGGCAGAGACTTTACTCATCTCTGTATTCCCAGGGCCTGGCACACCTCTTATCATATGGGAGGTACTATAAGTTTACTGGAAGAGTGAATGAGTGGGGTGTGAAAATGAATTCCTTCAGATCTATTTCCCTGTTCACTAATTCTCTTTCCAGCTATGTCTCATCTATTATTTAACCCATCTCTTAAGGTTTTCATTTTAACAATTATGTTTTCACTTCTAAAACATCTATATGGAGTTTCTCCCTAGCTTTTATGTCTTCAAATATTTCCTGGTTGCTTTATGTCCTGTACCTAAAAATTCTAGTGTATCAAGCTCCTTGGGATCTACATCTGTTGGTGATTGATTTCCCCGACTCCTACTCATGGTGGCTTATTCTCTTGTGCATCTGACTGTTAAACTGTGAGCTCGTATTTGTTTGCGCTTAATCTGTCCTCAAAATCAACGGCTTTCAACATGTAGCTCCCAGACCAGCATAACCAGCATCACCTGGGAGCTAGTTAGAAATGCACATTGTAGAGCCTCCCACCCTTGACCCCCACAGTGAATGAGAAAAGTGAGGCCCAGAAACCTATATCTAACAAGTCCTCCAGACGATTCTGATGCACACGGAGTGTGAGAATCACCGATTTAGAGAGAATCTGTGTTTGTCTATACAAGGAGCAAGGGGGTGCTGCTGACGACCACCTTACTCTTCAGGTCTGGGCTTAAGTAGGAGTTGCAGGCTCAGCTCTCCTGTCGCTGTTGGCCTAAGGCTTAGTTTTCTGGTTGTAGTGTTGGTACCGTCATCTGTACTCAGGCAATCTTGCCTTTAGTGCTGCTTATTTTTCACTACTTTCCACTCTAGTTTCAGCTCAATATAATTTGGGAGGTGATCAGAGTGGAGGGGGCTATCTTCAGAGATTTCCATAATTTACTGAGAGCCCAAAAACTGCATTAAAAAGTCTGTTTTATCCAAAATCTAGCTGTGTTAAGATAGGGAGGCCCATCAGAGTGCCCAGCCCAGCATGTGGCCAGTAAGAGCAACCCTCAGAAATGCATGGGCTTGAGGGGCTGCCTGTGCCCTCACTCATGGAGGGGAGGGTGGTGTCAAAACATGGTCTTAACGCTGCCCGGCCCCTCTGACCTGACATCTCTGTGGCCCGAGGACTCCCACACCCAGCAGTCACCTCCACAGCGAAACACTGCTCCTGCTGCCGCAGGCGGCCGTAGGTCCACAGCAGGCTCTGGAAGTGCTCCCACACCTGTACACGCTGCCCCAGGTCTGGGGGCCGCAGCCTGGGGGGCAGAGCAGGGGAGACCCATAAAAAAGCCGGCTGTCCCCAGCTTCAGCCAAAGGAGCAGCCTGACATCACCGCCAGCGCCAGGCAAGCTCACGTGACATGACCAGACCCCTGCGGGAGCCCACATAGCACAGAGGGGGCGTGTCGGGCTCTGCCCTCTCTGTAGAGCCAAGTGGGATGGGCATGGAACCAAGAGGTGGGCGCCTGAGCAGATCGCCTCATTTCTCAACCTCTCTCACACACACACATACGACAACAGCCAGCTAGAGAGACCCAGGAAGAGGCCAGGGGCAGAGTGTGACAGGCAGCTTCACTGAGGCTGGGTGCACACCGCCTGGCCTTGAGAGCGGCTCAGCACAGCACCCAGGGGACTCACTCCTTTCGGATGAGCTGGCCGTCCATGGTAACCAGCCCGAAGTGCACCTCGAAAAGGTACTTGAGCACGCACAGCTTCTGCCGCAGGTCCCCCTCGCCCTCGGTGTGGTCTCCATTGATGGCAATGAACAGGCACTCTCCGAACTGCAGGCACAGCGGTCAGTGGGTGTCAGCCAGCCCCAGGGGACCCCCTCACCTCCCCGATCGATGGGGACAGTGAGGGGGCTCATATCCCAGGGGATTTTGTTAAGATGTAGCTTCTGCCTTCTAAAAGAGTCTGAGGTTCAAGATGAGGAGGAGGCGTGTGGACTGCCCAAGGAGCTGAGGGAAGAGGAACTCGGGCCCCAGGGCCACACGCTCACCAGGTGAAGGACGTACAGATAGTTGCCATTTTCCGTCGAGAAGCAGGTGTATGTGTCTGAGAGCTTCTCCAGCATCGTCATAGAGGAGATAATGACTGGGGCCAGGAGGGTGCTGAGCTGGTCCTCCAGGGCGGGAAGCTGCAAGAGGGGATAGAGAATAATACTGCTTAGTGTGCCAGACCCTGGGACAAGGGAATGGACAAGACCCAGGCCTTGCCATCAAGGGCTCCATAGTTTTAGACCCACCTGGGAGGCTATCACTGTCCTGACAGGGAGACACTTGGGTAGTAGTTAGGAAGGCTGGGAAGGGCCAGGCAGCTAATTGTGCTGCTCAGGCTGTGATTCTAGAAGGAAACGTTAAGGAATTAGGCCACATTTCCACAGAGGAATGTTTGGGGCATTTAATAGAGAGCTGGCCAACTCTAAGAAAGTTCAGTATGTGTACCAAAGTCCATGCCCTTTGTTGCAGTTAAGTTCCCTTTGGGGAATGTATCCTAAGGAAAATAATCAGAGATGAGGCAGAGATACATGCACAAAAATGTTCCTTACAGCGTAATTTATAGTAGAAGCAACTGGAAAGAATGTAAATGTCCAGTACCAGGGAAAGAGTTAAATAAACAACAGTACATCTGAATGATGGGAGAATATATAGCACTTGACATGGAAAATTCCTATGATACAATGTAATGTTTAAAAAAATGGTTGTGAATGCTCTGTATTTTCAAATGATAAAAAAAACAAGGTATTGAAAAACCAATGAGAAATTCACACTATTAAAGTTACTGCTTCTGAAGAGAAGGATCAGGAATGATCTTTCCCCCCAGTTTTTACATCTTTCTGTACTTTCCCTATTTCAGTAACAAGAATGCCTTTACTTTTATAATCTCTTCACTCATCCATTCTCTCTGACCTCCAAATAAGAAACAGAACAAACAGACAAAACCAAAAAGAAACTGGACAAATTTGCTGAAGGTCTGGGAATAAAAATGGGATAAAGCCAAGGGAATGGTAATAACTCAAGTTCTCAACACTGGAATGAAAAGATAGGAGGAGACAGCTGACCTTCCCCATGCTGATCTCAGGAGCCTTGACTGAAACAGGGAGGAAGCGGAGTCCTAATTTTAACTTGTACACAAGGAGCTGAGTAAGACCTTGCCTTCAGAAGAACAGGCAAGCAGCCAGGGGTACTGTGCGGCACTTAAAATACAAGGGGGTCCGCGTCACGAGGGGTGTCGTTTCCTCCCACAGACTCAACATTTAGGAGCCCAGCGCCGTGTCCACTGCTGCGGAGGCTGTCAGTCACCTGCGACAGGTCCCCACTCAGGCAGCTCCTCTCCTGACCACCCCCAGGCCACACCACCCCAGCCTGCCCACCCCACACCTGTGAAATAAACCCATGCTGTTTATTTGCCACCTGGCTCATTTTCTTTAGACTCTGAATTCCACAAGTGCAGGGTCACGTTGCTATGTTCTCTGTAAACAGTCCATTCTTGATTAGTATTCGTTGAATGAATATCCCTTCACATAGGCAAACGTTGGTTGAATTATTCATGTATGACAATATTCTTGAACCATCACGAACCAATTATATTAATAGAAATGTCACTTAAAAACCTAGATGGTGTATAGCAACTCACTTTAAAAGTAGTAGCTCTTTCTGTAGGGATACAGGTGTAGCAAGAATTCTTTTGGTTAGAGGGAAATTATAATCTTTGTGTAGCTAGAGTGTAAAGAGAATTCTCCTATATTACTTGGTGCGATTATAAAGTGGTACAGTATCTTTGAATGACTTTTGAATCGATGATTCTACTTTTAGGAATTTATCCTAAGGAAATAATGAGATGTGGGATAAAATTCAAGCACAAATGTTCCCTACAGCAATAGCTATAGCAAACTGAAAGCAATATACATGTCCATTACTGGGGAAATGGTTAAATAAATGATGCTACATTTATTCATATATTGAATATAATGTTTCCATTAAGATTTATGCTTTTGAGAATATTTAACAAAATGGAATAATGCTTTTCCTATAATGGCAAGTGAAAAAAAAAACCAGGAAATAAAATTGTAAGTGTGGTATGATCCCAACTATTTATAAACGATAAAGAGCCAAAGAAAATATATTGAAGAGCTAATAGCTCAGGGTAGTAGAATTATGGGTCATTTAAAAACTATTCCTCTGTTATTTCCCAAATTTTCTACAATTAGTTCACATTATCCATAGGATCAGGAAAAAAAAGTGTTGGATACTTGAAAAATAAAACTTGGAAGACTTTTTTTCTTTAGTCATTTAGGAACTGAAAAGTCAGGAGTTTGTTCCTTTATGAGGTTTTTAATAAAGAGAAGAGAAACACTATCAAATAGTTTGCCTCTTAAATTGACCAAGTTGATATAGTGGTTTAAGAACTAAAATACTTTAAAATTCTTAAATTAAAAAATTATACATATTGACTGCTAGAAAATAAAAGAGCCTAACAGATAGACCTGTTTTTTAGCTTAAATAAGACCGCTTAGATGTCTATGATCTCTGATATGTCGTATCATTCCTAAAGAGTATCAGCGATGTCGAGGTGAATTAACTTGCTGATGTGGAGTTGGTCCGGCTGATGACCAGGCTCACTGGAGCAGGAAGGGCACTGAGAGGCAACCAGTCTGTGTGGCTGCAGAAACGCAAGGACTGTCTACTGCATCCCCAATACAAAAGTTTTTAATCCAAAATTAATCTGGAAAAAAATTCAAAATAAATTACTCCTTTAGAATGTAGAGCAGAAATTATCTAAGTGAAAATGACAACTGTCTCTGAGTTGTGATATTAAAGCGTTAAAATGGATATCCATATGCAAAAAAATAAACTTTATACTTTACACCACATACCAAAATTCAAAATGGATCATTAGACTGAATATAAAACCTAAAACTATAAAACTTCCAGAAGAATATGTGGGGAAAACTCTTTGTGATCTTGGGTTGGGCAAAGATTTCTTAGATATGACACAAAAAGTGTGATCCATAAAAGCAAAAAATGGAAAACATGGAGTTATCAAAATTAAAAACTTCTGCTTTTTGAAAGGTACTGTGAAGTAGATGCGAAGACAAGACACAGACTGAAAGAAAATATTTGCACAACATAGATCTACAAAAGGACATATCCATATCTAGGAAACTCTCAAAACTCAGTAGGAATAATAAGAAACAATCAACCCAATGAAAACTAGGCAAAAAGATTTGAACAGACATTTCATTAAAGAAGACATAAAGATAGCAAATAAGTACATGAGAAGATGCTCAAAATCATTAGTCATGAAGGAAATGAAAATTTCTTCATAGGGTGGGGGTGGGTCACTGGAGAGCATCAAGGGCTGACCTCTAAGCGTGCTCAGGAGTGAGGGGCGCCGGACCACACACAATGCCGTGTTCACCCCTCTGGCTGGGCCAGGACGGGTGGACAGGCTCTCCTGCCTCCTGGTAGTTCTGGGTTGTTCCCTCCCATCCGTCCTTCCTACCCTGCACTCACCCCTTCTCCCTCATTCTCCGACTGCCCAAACTTCAGCCGCAGACTCTCTTCAAACTCCTCGTCCATCCAGTAGAAGAGGACGTCCGCGCCCTCTGTGGCCACCAAGACGCACTTCATCTGCCAGGGAGAAGCAAGGTCAAGGTCACCTCCCAGCCCCACACCCATAGGCTTGGCCTGGGTAATGAAGAGGATCATAATCCCGCCAACACCTACTGGCCTTTACTGTGTGTCAGGCACCACGAGGGCCTTCCTGGTGTTACTCTGCGGCCCCCTCACAGCAACCGGGCTAAGCAGGAATCTTCAGTTACTCCTATTTTTAAGTGACAGAAGTGGGATCCAAACCCAGGCCTGTCTAATGCCAGGCTGGGGCTCTTTCCTGTGTTATCCGGCCTCTCTAAACACAGCATCAGACCCACCACCAGCCTACTGGGACCAAAGGCAAGGAAGGACCCAGCTCTTGATCTGAGCACGGGGTCAACTGTACAAGGGGGACAGGCAGTCAGGGCCTGGTCTGGAATGGAGGGTGGCTGGTGCATCTCCCTCCAGGAAGTCCAGAAACAATGTGCTTCTCCTCAAGTCACAGATAGCTCCAGAGGACGAGCTTCAAAGCCCACAGGCAGGGGGTTCAGTATTACAGGAGTTTGATTCACAAGTTCCTCCTGCTCTGGTGGACACAAAGGCTATGTGACCTTGGCCACGGCTCATTCTCACTCCTGCTTAGCTGCTGCTTCCTCAGCCACCTCCACCAGTATCTCCTGCCCTTCCGGACCTCCTTCCCCAGCACCCACACACGTACCCTCTGTGCCACACATTATAATGCTTGACTATATACAATGTGTTTTCATATTCACCAACTGGTAGATTCTTAATCCAGAGCTTCCCATGCTGGGCCTTGGGCCTGTGAGGTGCAGCAAGACATCGATCTTCTCAGCGCTTAGGGAAGCCTGACCATGCCTGGTGAAGCCAGAGCTGTCAGGCCAGCTGCTTGCTCCATTCAAGGGCTTCAAACCTTCTCCTATACCTCAGCATGTCACACAGATACGAATGCATCACCCACGTGCTAGGACGTGATAATGATGAGGAAGCTCTGTTCTAACTCTTCCATGGTGGATGTCCAGTTTCCTCAACAGGATCATAGCATCTCGAGGTCTCAGACTCAGTAACATTCTTCAGGATCCCCTACGTGACCAGCTTAGTGGTACTTACCGAATTCCTCCCAAATCTCTAGTTGGTTTATCAACTTTAACTCAGAGAACCTAGCTTGATGGGTGTTTCCAGCACAGTGAAAAACAAAGAATGTATCCTATTCCCATGGAATTGCTAAACACTAGGCAGAGACTGGGAGAGCAATGGAGTGTGAAGGAAAGGTTGCTGGACGAGGGCAGGTGGGCTTGACAGGAAGGGAGTGCATGGGCTGGAGAACAGTGGGCTGTAGAATGGAGGCTGTGAACAGCAGGGAGCCCCCGTAGGCTGGTAAGGGTGTGGATCATGGATGGGTGGGGTCAAGGTTACGGAGGCTATTGTCCTGGTGCGGGGTAATGTGGGTCCAGTCCTTGGTGGAGGCCAGAGGAGGAAGAGGCTGATTCAAGAGGTGTAGCTTAGAGACTTGGTAGGCCATGATGACCTCCTGGATGCAAGGGAGGAAGGACAGAACAGGCAAAGTTGACACCAGGATGCAGAGCTGGGACAGGGGATGGAGATGAGATGACTCTGCACAGCCAGCGAGAGCTCAGTCTACTGCCTACCTCACCCTGCCCACCTCCCAGAGCCCGAGTAGCCCCAGGGTGGGTGCTGCCTGCCTCCATCTCAGGCAGGATCATCTACCTTGGAAAGGAGCACAGCGGAGCTTCCAGACAGCCAAAGATTCAGAAAGGGCTGCGGTAGACAGACTCAGTGACCAGTTCATGGAGAGCAGCATAGCATCCCAGGTCCTGCTTAAAACAGGGAGGTCATGAGGGCAAGCAGAGGCTCTTGTTCCAGCTGCTGCCTGTTCCCAGGAGTGGACAAGCTGGTGAAGGACGGAGTGGTCAAAGGTCTGTATCTGGCTCTAAGGCCTTCTGCTCAGAACATACTCCCCTCGGCCAGGAGGTGTCCAAGTGCCCCACATTCTGCCCACCCCTGCCCTCCCACAATGGAGAACACGAACCCGGCAAGCACAGTTCTTTGGCCATAGCACGTGTCCACAAACATTAATTCTCACCTACTGTTTCCTTCTGAGCACTCTCACTTCCCCGTGGGTCACTCTGAGCCATGGTGTGGTCAGCAAACCCACCCTGAGCAGCCCCGGGAAGCCTGCTATGAGTGACTATTGGGAAACAGCATAGCACATCCCAGGGAGACAGAAAAGCAGTCCTGGGGAAGAGAGGAGGTATCCTAGGGTAATGCAATGAATGGCAGTAAAGCAATACAACAGGCAGGGGAGACCCAGTTCTAGTTTTGTCTTTGCCAAGACACTTAAACCTCTCTGAGCCTCACCCTCTGGCTCTACCTCCCTCCAGGGTTCTAGTGAGAGCCTGGGAGTAACCAGGCAGACACACCCCTAGCAAACTTTCTTACACAGAGGTGGGGTGGGGGCTCGTTATTCTTACTTCCCAGCTTCCCCTCCTCAAATAACAGGTGAACTAAACTGGTTTCAGAATCACTCATATTTTGATGATAAAAAGCAGGAACAATATAAAGCTTTAGCTTAATTAGGAAACCAAACATTGTAAACAAACAAGACACAAGAAAGGGCTGTTAGGGGCTCAGCATCTCGTGCAACATGACACTCACTACATCACCGGCATGATTGACCTTAACGCCATATTCCCAGAAGAATGGAAATGCTCTTTAGAGGACGTTAGGTTCTACTTTTATTCCACAAGGTTGCTGGAAAGAGAACCTCACCGGTGTTATTTTCTGATTATTATTATCTGATTATATTATTTTCTGATTATTTATGCTCTGAGGGAACACAGGACTCACTGGAGCCCCAGATGGCGCCGGGGCAAGCGGGGGAAACGCCCCCACGCCCATATTCGCCATCCTCCCAGCAAACTGCCCCTATGGCCGCCGCCCCTGCCTGCAAGCAGCCCACACCCTCACAGCCTCGTCCTTGCCCCTGATGGGCTGGAGGACGCAGGAGTGAAGACCTGCAGGACGCGCCCGCCGAATGGCAGCCTTCCAGTTTGCCCTGCACTTTACAATTTATGCAGCAGTTTCACCCCCAAGTCCCCCGAACCTCACAGATACCCTGGGAAGAAGGCCCGGCTTGTGACTACTGCCCCACTTCGTAGGTGCAGTAACTCTGGCTCCGAGAGGTGAGGCGACGGGCCCACGGCCCCACGCCGGGTGCGTGAGGCTGGAGGTGGAGACGCCCCCACTTCCGGGAGGGAAGCGCCGGGGTCCCGGAGTAAGCCCCACCGACTACCGAGGCCCTCCGACAGTGCGGGAGGCCCACGTACCGCGTAGTACGCAGACACCGGCCAGCCTGCCAGGAGCCCGCGGGCGCGCTTCCGGGTGTGGCCACGTGACCGCCCACGTGACGCCCGGGGAGGGACTGGAAGCCCGCCCCGCCTCTGCTTGGCTTACGCCTCTGCCTGTTGTTTGGTTTGCTTCCTCTCGGAGGCAGGGCCCAGCGAACCCTGAGTCCTGCGCTTTGACTCCTGCCGGGCGGTGGCCACATTCCTCCCGTCAACAAGGAGAGCACCGAGGCCCACAGTGTGGGGGACTTTGCAGGCAGCCGTCAGAGGCACCTGCTGCTTCTGGCCCTGCAACCTGCCTTAGCTCAAGCCACGCCCCACCGAGGTACTAGGAAAGTCTCCATTTACAGAAGAGGAAACTGACGCCCAGAGAGAAGAAATAACTTGCTGAGGGGCCGAGTTAGGATCAGAACGCAGGTTTCCCGGCGCCCCGCTGGGCTCTTCCCCACGCTCTGGCTTTCCTTGCTGAGCTGCAGTTCTGGGTGGGAGCTGCCCTTCTGTCACCGGTTTCCCTCAGCTCCTTGAGAGGAGAGGCAACCTGCAGAAGGACGCAGTTACCCCCAGAGTACCACCGCTGGACTTTCTTTATAAGGGTTCTCAATCCATTTTGGGGATAGGGGTGCACATCAGGGTCTTTGTTTTGAACCTGTGTTTGCTAGTCTCTTAAATTGTATGTGTAGTGGCTGAAGGTGGGGGGAGCTGATGAAGATAATGGAAGGGATGAAATTCCCACCCAAGCCACCCCTTAGTGCCCTGGTGCCACCTGCGATCTTTGAGCACAGCCCAGCAGGGGATGACTTTCGAGGACTGGCTGGGGTACAGCAGTTTGAGCGCCACCTGGGGCAAGGCAGGGGCCAATAATGCCTCCACCACCTGCAGACAAAGCGAGTTATCACTCTCCACCCCGCCTTCACCGCCCACCCCTCCCAGCCCACCTTAAGCCCCAGACTTTCCAGCCCCCCATCTACAGCACACAGCCCCTCTGCAGGCATCTCTGCAGCCCACAGTTGAGATCATTCTGGCTGCGCACTCTTTACCCTGCTATTTTCACTCACCATGTTTCTCTCTGTCAAACATTTCCTGAGCATGAATTTCAGTGGTTGAATAAATTCCATCAAATAGATATGCTGCTGTTTACGTACTCACTTCTGTTACTAGTAGTTTTCATTCCTGCCAGCAACATCAACGTCCTAGTTTCCCCATATCTTCACCAACACTTTTATTGTCTATTATAATTTAGCCATCCTAGTGGGTGTGAAGTGATAGCTCATTGTGATTTTGATTTGATACTGAGACTAATGATGTTCAACATCTTTTCATGTGATTTTTGACCATTTTCTTGGGGAAATGTTTATGCAGATTCTTTGCCTGTTTTAAAATTGTCTTTTTATTATTGAGTCGTGTTTGTTATATATTATGCATACAAGTCTCTTTTTAGATATAAGATTTGCAAAAATGTCCTCCCGTTATGTGGTTTCTTTTCACTCTCTTAATGGTATCACTTGTAGCACAAAAGTTTTCAGTTTTGATGTAATTCAGTTTATCTGTTTGTAATTATGTCCAGGTTTTGATGTCAACATAAATTTTTATTTCACTTGGGTAAACACCTAGGACTGGGGTGGCTGGGCTGTATGGTAAGTGTATGTTTAAGTTTATATTATACTGCTGAACTGTTTTTCTAAAGTGCATGGACGATTTTACATTCCCTCTAGCAATACTAAGAGTTTTAGCTGCTCTGTAGCCTCCTTAGCACTTGATATTATCCTTTTCTAACTTTAGCCATTCAAGTAGGTATATGGTGGCATCTCATTGTGGTTTTAATTTCCATTTTCCTGGAAAATGGACTAATGATGTTGAACTTCTTTTCATGTGCTTATGTGCCATCTGTATCTCTTCTCTGGTAAAGCATTCAAATCATTTGCCCATTTTTAAATTGGATCATTTTTCTTATTATTATTTATATGGTTTCTTTATGTATTTAGATACAAATTCTTTATCAGATATCTGTTTTGCATTATTATTATTATTTTTGCCAATCTGTGGCTTTGTCTTTTCATTCTCTTTATGCTGACTTTTGAAGAACAGAAATCTTTGTGCTTCTTTGTGTACTGTCTATTGATAGAAACGAAGATTTTATCTTGTGTTTTCTTCCAGAAGTTTTATAGTTTTAGGATTTGCGTTTAGGTTGATGATCCACTTTGCGTTGATTTTTGTAGGTGGTGTGAGAGAAGGGTTCAGATTTTTTTTTGCATATAGATGTGCAGTTTTTCTAACATCATTTGCTGAAAAAATATCTTTTCATCACTGAATTACTTTGACACATTTGTCTCAAATCAATTGACCATATATGTGTGGATATATTTCTGGACTCTATTCTGTTCAATAAATTTAGAGGGATTCAGGTCACACCAAGGATTTTACTGATTTTCTCAAAGAAACAGCTGTTGGTTTCATCAATTTTCATTGGTTGCCTGGTTTTTATTTCACCAATTTCTACACTGATATTCACTCTTTCTTTTCTTCTGTTTACTTTGGTTTTAATTTGCTCTTTTTTTTTATAGTTTCTTAAGGCCGAAACTGACCCATTGATTTGAGACTTCTTGTCTTTTCTAACAAAGGAGTTTACTGCTATAAATTTCCCCCAAGGTACTGCTTCTCAGCACCCACAACTTTTGATGTGTTGTCTTTTTATTTTTAATTAGTTCAAAATGCTTTCTAACTTTTGTTTTGATTTTTTTGACCCGTGAGTTATTTAGAAGTGTGTTATTAATTTCCAGACATTTGGAGGATTTCCATGTATCTTTCTGTTATTGGTTTCTATTTCAATTCCATTTGGTCAGAGAATATGCTTTGTGTGATTTGAATACTTTTACATCTATTGATGGTCTAGGGTATGTTCTGTCTTGGCGAATGTTCCATATGTACTTGAAAAGAATATGGATTCTTCTTTTGTTGAGTTGAGGGATCTATAAATGTCAATTAGGTTAAGTTGGTTGATAGCAGCATTCAAGTTTTCTATATCCTTAATGGTTTTCTGTGAAGTTATTATATCAGATATTGAGAGAGTGGTATTGAACTCTCTAATCATAATTGTGGATTTGTCTGTTTCTCCTTGTAGTTGTCATCTTTTACTTCATGTTATTTTGAAGCTCATTTTATTTTGATGCATAAACATTTATGATTGTTATGTTCTCTCAGTGTATTAACCCCATACCATTATGAACTGATCTTTGGCGATATTTATTGCACTGAGTCTACTTTGTCTGAGAATAGTACAGCTACTACAGCTTTCTTCTGATTAGCGTTAACACGGCACGTGAAGGAGTTCAGGACATGCCACCCCAAAACGTGCCACTTTGGTATATTGATTATTTTGAGCTAAAGGCACTTGAAAAAACAGCAGGTGCCTGCAAGAAGGGTGCTCTGACCTTCCCTTTTCTTCCTGAAAGCAGGCGTGAAACTCCCACATGTAAAACACCCTCCTTATACCAGGAGAAAAGAAACATTCTTATTACCAGACATGAGGAGTCCAGGCAGAGAGAAATCTGTACAAATAGACTTCGTTAAAATAATTCTTATCTTTCTTTAGTCTCCCCAAACAGTTTACTTTTCCACAATTGCCGCAATTTGTTGAACCTAGTATATACGCGCTTAGGCCCTGCCATTTCTCTGGGTCTTCATTTTTCTCGTGGGAGCTCCCATGCACATGTGAAAAATTACTAAATAAAACTTGTATGCTTTTCTCCTATTAATCTGTTTTACGTCAGTCCTAGCCAGAAATCCTAAGAGGGTTGAGGAGAAATTTTACCTCCCCTACATATGTAATTTTCCATTCTTTTATATTTAACCTACTTCTGTCTTCATATTTATAGTGCATTTTTTGGTAGGCAGCATGTAGTTGGATCTAATTTTTTATGCAGACTGACAATCTCTGCCAGACTAAATTGTCAGATTGTATGTTAAGACAACTTACATATAATGTGATTATTAGTATGGTTTGGTTTAAGTTTATCAGTCTGTTATCTTGCTATTTGTTTTCTATTTGTCCTGTCTTTTCTTTGTTCCTTCTTTCATCTTTTAAATGCCTTTTCAAGAAACGTATTGAGTATTTTTATGATTCTGTTTTCTATCCTTTGTTGGCTTCAGGACTAGGACTGGGGTGAGAATGACATATTTACCTTGAATGCAAAATTTAAAGGGATGTCAAAAAACTTAGTAATCAAGATAAATACTATATGAATTAATGTTTTTAAAATCAAAATTACTGTAAAAATCCATGATAAATAAAATATCAAAATTTTAAATATAAACATGATCATTATTTCTGATTTTTCCTTTGCCTCAGGTTTCAGTATAGCTCAACATGACACTATTACTGACAGTGAGTCACATATTCCTGCTTCTTTGTGTGTCTATTAATTTTTATATTTTATACTGGACATTGTAAGGGATGCATTGAAGACTCTGGATTCTGTTGTCTTCCACTGAAGTGCTGAGTTTTGTTCTAGGTGGCAGTTGATAATGGCAGTTCATTTTGATTGTGGAGGCTTGATTTTTGGCTTTGTTAGAGTGGATGTATTTCGTTTTCTTCCTTAATCCTAAGAGGGTGTGATCCTTAGTGTTAAGGTGTGGCCTTTGGGGGGTTTCAGTGGGAGGTCTGAAGTGTTTACCGAGCTCCTCTAACTTGGTAGGACCTGAACTCAAACTCCCTCCCACTAGGCAGCAATATATCTCTGCTGCTCTCTCAGCCTTCTGGCTCTTTCTTTCTACCAGGGTTTTTGGAGTCTCATTCTGTGCATACATAGTTCAGAGGTCAGCCAAATATTTGAGGGTACTTCATACTGGCTTTGTTGGCTTCTCCCATTATTTCTCCTTTTTCTACCCGCTTTCATTTTCAGCTGCTCGGTCATTCCTGAAAACCAGTCTCTTACTCCACAGTCCAATACACAGCTGCTTTCTGCTTGACCTCAATCCCC